TCTTTCCTCTTCTTCTTCTCCCCCTCCTCACCCTTCTTCTTCTTCTTCTTCTCATTATTATTACTATTATTATTCCCTCTTTTGTCCCCCTCTCTTTTCTAATCCTCTGATTTCATAGTCATAGCTCCAAATGCATGGTGGATATTAAATAAACGTTTCCTATTAATAAACGTTATGTCACTTGATCTGCAGTGACAGCTTATATTTACTGAGCCTTTACCATATGCGAGCTCTGATGCAAGCTCCTACAATGCATTATCCTGCCGAACTCTGAGAGTTACCTCTCTGTAGGAGAGCTGGGACTTAGGATGAGGCAAGCAGGACACCTAGGGCACAAGCTTTAAGGGGGTGCTCACTCTCAGAGTCCCACAAGTGCAGCATCAACACCTGAGAATCTCTCAGTGCTCCCAGCCCTGGTCATTACTATAATCTCCATCTTCATTTTAACATCTAAGGAAATGAGGCTCACAGAGGGTAGGTCAACTGCCCAACACAACAGAGCTAAAGAATGAACAGAATTTGAACACAGGTCTAGCTAGCTCCAGAGCCCAAGCTCTTAAGAATTGTAATGAATACGTACCCAGGACACCATCCTTAAATAGGAAGAGGAAGCCAAGCATCTTCAGACATTTGAGAAAAGCTTCTAACACAATCACCAGAGATCTAACTAAGCAAAGAGACAAAGAAATGCAGAAAGTCCTAAAGCTGACATAATGCAGGAAGCAGAAGAAAACGTCAGCCAAACTGAAGTTTATATCCTTGAAGAATTAGGAGACTTTGCTTCCATGACATAAGAACAGGCTAAAAAAGAAACATTCAGAGAATAAGAAAACACTTGTAGAAAGTAAGAAGTTCAGAGAATCCCCTGGTAGTCTAGTGGTTAGGACTCTACACGTCTGAGGGCGTGAGGGTGCAGGTTCAATCATCCCTGGTTGGGGAACTAAGATCCTGCAAGCCATGCAATGCAGCCAAAAACAAAAACAAAACAAAAAAAAAAGAAAAAAAAAGAAGAGATTAAGAAGCTCATAAGAGAAATGAATCTCTCAATAGAAGAGTTGAATAGTAAGGTTGAAGAAGTCTCCCAGGAAATAGAATAAGGCAAAAAGATGATGAACAGGAGAGAAAAGATAAAAGAGAATCAATCCAAGAAGTCCAATAACAAACTTACAGGAGTTCCAGGAAGAAAGGAGAGCAAAAAAATGGAGAGGAGGAAATTACTGAAGAACTGATGGAAGAAAATTTGGACCAAGTGCTGGGAACATTAAATAAAAAATAGATAAGTTATTGTAAAATTTGAGAACACCAAGAATAAAGAGATTATCATAAAAACTTCTAGAGGAAAATAGAAAAGATCAGAAATTCAGATTTCTCACTGTCACCATTGGAAACGAGAAGAGAGTGGAGCAGTACTTTCAAAATTCTGAAGGAGAACAACTTCCAAATGGCCAGTTGAATGTGAGGATAAACCGAATACGTTTTCAGACAGGCAAAATCTCAACAGATTAACTTTCTCAGCAAACTACTAAAGGATGTGCTTCAGCGAAACAAGAGAATAAACCAACAAAAGGTGACCCAGGAAATATCTAGTCTAACACAGGAGAGAGGTGAAGGGAAGTCCCAGGGCAACATGGTACAGTAGGTCTAGAGAGTTCTCCATTCAGAGTGGAGCTGCGGGATGGTGGGCACTGGACCTCTGCATTCATGCCGTAACAGGGATAAATGATCTGAGTTTACACTTCATGTGTTTGTCCATGTTGAGAAGAGTCTAACGAGAAGTTGGAGGAATTAGTGAGAGGCACTTAAAAATCCGAGCAAATGTAACATGGTGATTAACTCCAGGAAAAGCAAAACACTGTACGTGAGGGGAAATGTAATTATAGCAAACTCTGAATCTTAGCTGTGAGCAGTATTTAACAATATTTACCGGGACACAGCAACATAAATTCTGAGTGTTCATTAATCCAAAAGAGGTGAAATACCATACCGAAGAATGTGCTCATGTGTATAAAATGCAAAAAATGAATTTTCCTCTGCCATAGTAGGAAGTTAATACATGTCTATAATGGGAAAAAATTGAGAAATATATTATTTAAAACTATGGAGGAAAATACCAGAAAAATGTCTAAACGAGTTGAAAGTGCGCTTACCCAGAGCTCCCTCACCCCCTCCCTCACTCGGAGTTCCCTCACACCCTCCCTTAAAAAAAAAAAAGAAAAAGAAAGAGTGGAAAGTGCTTTCCTCTGAAAAGTAGGACTCACAGGGAATCCCTGCTTTTTATTATAAGCATTGTAGTACCTTTCGATATTTAAATAAGGTATATTTGTTACCCTGAAAAAATTAATAGTAAAAGGTAATTTCATTACCAGCTATTTACTTGCCTTTCTTTTTCCCTCTAAAACTAGAAGCTAGAGTGGGAAAATGTCACTTCTCTGGGCCTTTTTGCCCTTTGAACAGAATACACTGTCTTGGTCCTTCCTCTTCTGTGTTATTACAGAACAGAGCAGCAGTTTTAACCACTCCAAACAGCACATAATCCTCAACCCGATATTTGACTTTGAAATTAATTTTGCCATTATATTTGACTACACTTAGGTCATAAAGTACATTGCGAAAAGCCAGTTCATGAACCATTTAAAAGCTGGCTACCTTTCCCACCTGCCTCCCCTCCAGGGTAAAGGTTACTGTTTCTCTGAGGGAAGGTATCAATGAGGGCTAATTTTGCCCTCATTCATGTTCCCACACCTTGCCTAGAACTGGCCGTCGAATTCAGAGGTTCAAACCCTCCAATGGCCTTTGGGTCACTAGCTCAGTAACGTTTATGAAGCATCCCAGGAAGCTCAACATCATCTTAGCCCTCTGTGGGGAGAGAAAATACCGGAACCAGTCCCTGACTTGAAGGAACTTAAAATCCAGTTGAGAGAGAGGGCCATGCATGAAAAACCATCACGAACAAAGCAGAATTAAGAGAGCACCAGTGCGATGCAAGAAGATGTGAGGCTTGCATCCTGAGTAGGGGAGACCAGAGAAGGTGGGAGTGGCCAGATCGGGCTCCAGGGAGGAGGTGGGACTCCGCCTGTGTGCTCAGAGTCACGTCCTGCTTGCAAACTATCCTCCTGGACCCCTTGACCTGGCCCTTCTCCCTCCTCAAAGTTAATCACGCGTTCCTCGGGGCTAACGCTGTGTTTTGTATGCGCTCTGGTGCTGCAGCCACTATGGGGCACGACAGTTTGTGACTGTGTGTGTTTATCCCACGAAACCGTGAGGCTACCAGCTCCTGGGCCGTGTATTCGGGCAGCCCCAGTGCCCAACTCAGCCCAACACCTCGAGGATGTGAGCCGAACGAGTGAGTATTGTTTCATGCAAGGAGGAAAGTGATGACTGGCAGTGGGTCTCCCCGGCCCCCACGGGCCCCTGTTTTCCACCCTGACAGGTTTGCATCTGCCTGTGGAAAAGCTGGCAGGAGAGCCAGTCAGAAAGGCAGACAGGACAGGGAACGGGAGTTCTCCCGCATCGTCTGGCGGGAGGGCTGAGCTCTGGCTGTGTCTGGTACGTGGAGGACTCCCACGGAATCCACACACCACCCTCCCAGGCCCTGGGGCTTCCTCCTCTCCACTCTATGTAGCCCCCAGGAGACTGAACTGTCCCCTCCTGATTTCTCAAGAACACAGAGCAAACCAGAGTACTCAGGCGGCCTTGTGGGGAGAGCAGGTGGCCGACGTCCATCGACCTCCCCAGATCTGCAGACCTGGGGCCACCTGAGCCCATGTTGTGAGTCACATACGACAGCGAGAAGGGACAAAAGTGAGTGGGGCAGGTGGGGCCTGGTGGCTCCCCACCGCCCTGGAGCCGCCGCCAAGCAGAGCCACTCGCTGCCCACGGGCTTGGCAAAGCTGGCGCCAGTCTCGCCTTACACGCCTGTGTGTCCTCTGTCCTCTGTTATTTAACTTCAGCCTCTTTGCTTGTCAAAGGCCCTGATACCACCTCCCTCATGGGGCGTCCACAGGCCAGGCTGAGATCAAGCAGGAACCCGGCCCGCACGGGGCCTGGTACCCTCACCGCCCTCGATGGTTCAAGGCTCTCAGCTTGTTGGGACTGCTTCCCACCCCCTCACACTGTAGAACCAGCTCTTACATGTGGGAGATGCAGAGCACAGCGGCGGCCCGAAAAATGATGCGAGTGCTAACCATGACTTGCATTTTCTATAATTCTGGTTTTCTCTTGACCCAATTAAAAAAAAAAGGAGGCTTTTTGCTCCTTTTCCTCTTGGGCCCAGGGGTTGTGCCAGTTAGCCTGGCTGCGGGTAGATTGTGTCAGTCAGAGGGCGCGTGGGAGGGACCCCCGGAGCAGTCTCCAGGGGCAGTGCTGAACCAAGGTCAGGGCGAGCAAGTCAGCCTCCCTGGCCTCTGCTCAGCGGCCCTGTGGGGCAGGGGGCTGGGGCAGGAGGGGCGGGGAGCACACTCCAGTGGACAGTTCCTTGCCCCCCATGCAGCTTCCGGGGCCCTTCCTGACCAACCCTGGCCAGGGAACAACCTGAGACGCTTTTGGAAAGTATTCATGCCCAACTCCCACCCCCTTCCCATTGGTCTAGGATGGGACCTCATCATGTCATCCAGCGGTCCCCAACCTCTTTCGGCACCAGGGACCGGTTTCATGGAAGACAGTTTTTCCACGGGCCGGGGAAGGGTGGGGTGGGGTGGGGGGATGGTTTGGGGTTGATTCAAGTGCATTACATTTACTGTGCACTTTATTTCTCTTATTATTATATCAGCTCCACCTCAGATCATCAGGCATTAGATCCCAGAGGTTGGAGACCCCTGATGCCATCGGTATTGTTAAAAAGCTCCCCTACTGATAACAAAGTGCAGCAGAGGTTGAGACACTCCCGGCCTACTGTGACTTGGTTGCTGAGTTAACCCTTTCTTTTTTTTTTTTTTCTGCGGCACGTGGGCCACAGGCTCTGGACGCACAGGCTCAGCGGCCATGGCTCACGGGCCCAGCCGCTCCGCGGCTTGTGGGATCTTCCCAGACCGGGGCACGAACCCGCGTCCCCTGCATCGGCAGACGGACTCTCAACTACCACGCCACCAGGGAAGCCCGTTAACCCTTTCTTGTAAAGTCATCCTTGGAGCTCGTGCTCAGGAGTCAGGTCGCCTCGGTTTGCATCCTGGCTTTGCCACTGCTGGCTGCGTGCGACCTTGGGCAGGTCAGCCAGCAGTCCTGAACTTCGGTTTCTTCATCTCTGTAATGGAGAAGATAACAACAGTCCTTTCTCACAGTGTGTAGTGAGCATTAATGAGATCCAGCCTATAAAGTGGTTAGCACAAGAATTGACATGTCATTACTGTTAATTACTATTAATACTAATTATTATCATCACTTGGAGAAAATGCTCTTATTTTCTACCTAATCTTGCAAGTGCAGAAAGCCTTTGGATTATTCCAGGCACTCATCTAATGGATTCTGCAAATTACCATGTGGACGGGGACACCCTAGGCCATTTCTTTTCTCCCTACTCTACTTGTAAGTCCCAGGGAAATCTTCCCAGACTGTTAGTCTCCAATGGCAACAGAAATATACTTCTGTAATACATAAATGTTTGCAAAGCATTTTTTCAGGCATCATTTCATAAACACTAGCCCATGCCCTGTGAACATTTCACAGCTCCTTCCCACCTTGAGTGACAGACTGAGCCAGGTCTCTGGGCACAGCAGGCATGCACAAGCCACAAAGGTGGGCAGCTGGGGCGCCAGCTCTGGCCTTGAGAAACCTAAATCTCAGACATGTGTGCGCATGCTGCCTAGTCGCTCTTGCTGACGCCTAGCAGTGAAGCAATTGGGCTTAAAAAAAGCAACTCTCGTTTCCTCTTTGGGGAAGGGTGCTGCGCCCCAGCTGCCACCTGCCCTTCCCCCAGCCCCAGCAGGCAATAACGGGGACAGGGGTGCACGGAGGACCAGGTGCAGGCTCACAGGAGCAGGGAAACCATGGAGTCACTGAGCGGTTGGGGAAGCCCAGACCTCACCCCTCTTACTGCTTCTCCTCTTCCCAGGGGCCGTGTCCCGTGAAGTCTCTACCAGGTGAGCAGACCCTGCGGCTCCCTGCTGGGACTGCTCCAGGCAAGGTCAGAGGTCACTTCCGGAGGAAGGAAGGGGTCCCTCGAAGAACTGAAACGAGGCCATGTGGCCGGCATGAGTGAGCTGAAGGGGCCAGGGAGCTGAGTGGGGTGCCCGTGGGAGCTTTCAGGCTGGGCTCAAGGACTGTCTCTACCCTCAGACAATGGGAGGCCACTGAGGGCGCTGGCAGTGGGGTACCATGACCAGAGTTATATTGTGTGCTGGCTTCAGTTCTACTCATAACCCCTTTATTCTTTCCAAGAAAAGCTCCACCAAACACAGCAAGCAACGTAGGCCAGCACTACTTACCCTGTGGCAGGCCATGTGCTGAGTACTCTACCTGAGTCAGCTGCCTCCTCTATGGGGTCCCACCCCATGTCCAGAGGATGCCAGGGCCCTTTTTGTCCCTGGCCCATTCCAGATCTCTTTCTGCAATGCAGTGAGGGGTTATTTTTTATTTTAATTATAATTTTTTTATTGAAGCATAGTTGATTTACAAAATTTCAGGTATATAGCAGTGATTCAGTTACACACAAACACACACACACACACACATATCCTTTTTTTTTTTTTAATGTTATTTTCTTCTTGACCTCTGGAAGCAAGTGGGTTTATTTTCATTTTTAATTTTATTTATTTATTTATTTATTTTTGGCTGCACTGGGTCTTTGTTGCTGCTTTTCTCTAGTTGCGGCGAGCTGGGGCTACTCTTCTTGAGGTGCGGTGGCTTCTCTGGTTGCGGAGCATGGGCTCTAGGCACACGGGCTTCACTAGTTGTGGCTCGCGGGCTCTAGAGTGCAGGCTCAGTAGTTGTGGCGCATGGGTTTAGTTGCTCCGCAGCATGTGGGATCTTCCCGGACCAGGGCTTGAACCCGTGTCCCCTGCGTTGGCAGGCGGATTCTTAACCACTGCGCCACCAGGGAAGTCCCACACACACATATTATTTTTCAGATTCTTTTCCATTGAATATAGTTCCCTGTGCTCCATAGTAGGTCCTTGTGGTGTGAGGGGCTCTTTTTAGCTCCCAAGGTGATGTCACATCTTACATCTGAGAATATCAAGTGTTCTCAGAACCAGAAGGACACCCAACATTCACCTGGTATGCACTCTCACTAGCTCCTTGAACTCACCCCTCTAGAAGCCACTTCTGGGAGTCAGGATGGCAACAGAAAACATCCCTCTGGGTTGTGTGCTTAGATGTGGTGGCCACAGAGGTTTCCTAATCCTTCCCACCCCAAGTGAGCTACCCCCCAAATGGCAGACCTCCCTCCCCTTGCGGGGCCTGTGGCTGCCTGGACAGCTGACCTCAAGGGCGAGGGTGTCTACAAACAGGGGGCCTAGAGGGCCTGAGCCAGAGATGTACAAACTCGTTAATTAGTCAAGTCACCGAGTTCATTCATTCATAAAGTCTAGAAGCACCTACTTCTGAGCACAGGTAGGAATGAGGAAAGGGCTGGTGAACGGTGTTCCCTAGCTACCACCATTGGTTGAGAAACTAGTAAACACCTGGCACTTGATAGACATGGTCCTTGTCCTACTGACAACCTATTTCACAGATGAGGAAACTGAGGCCCAGAGGGGTTATCAAATCTTGGTCACATGCCTCTTAAGTGGCTGAGCTAGGGTTTGAACCTGGAGCTGCACAGCTCAGTGACAACATCGTCCCTTCCATAGGTGCAGAGTGGCCTGGGCCTCTCTGGTGAGCAGGACCCTGAAAAGAGGCATCGTTTCTATTGTTCATACCAGTCTGGTCTTACAGTCCAGCAGCTCAGCTCCAACTGGTTTTAGCCAGTTTAGCCAGCAGCCGATTGCTGAGCCAGCACTGGGGGGTGATGTAATGGGCGCTCAGAAGCATTCCCTTTTCTGTTTACACCCAAGTACAAACTGCACTAAGAACCTCCAAGTCCTAACGAGGCAAGTAAGACAAGCCTTGCTAGTGCCAAGTTACAGGCTATCCTGGGCCCTAAATTGTATGCAGTCACAAAAATCACTTAAATGATTTTTGACTTTCAAAACAGGATCCTGAAATGGATCCTGTAAAGTAGTGAGCTGCATGTCATTTGAGAGTATCCAGTAGATGCTGGATGTTGCCAGAGCTGTGGTAGAGGTGCTTCCTGGACATACTGGACATCCAGGTAGGGCAGACTAGATGGCATCTATAGTCTAAACAAAACTAATGTAGGAAACAGTGTGTGTGCCGCTGGGCACTTGTGTGTGCGTGTGCATGCATGCATGTGTGTTTTGGGTTGGGGGAAGGAAGGGGGAGCTGGGTATCCAGGAGGGCCTCCGGATGTCCCTCCCTATTATTTAACTGTTAATTTGTTATCTATTGGAGGTCTTACGCTAAAAACTGAAAAATCACTGCTAGAGGGGAATGGTGAGTTAATGAGGAATTTTGAGCAGAAAAGTGAGGCAGTAAGATTTGCATTTTAGAAATATCACTCTGCTTGCAAGGTGGAGAATGGGACTGGAGGGAAGCAAGAGTGGCATTTTGGAGGTAAAATTAGAGAGACCTGGTGGTTCTTGCAAGACGCGAGATAGAAAAGGAGGCATCTTGCACAATTGGTTGGTTCGGGTCTGGAAGGACGGTGGTGGGGCCGCTGAGGCGGAGCACACAAGCCAGAGCAGTTTCTAAGGAAGATGGATGAGCTGAGTACTGGGCATGTGGGTGTGACCACTCTGTGGGACATTCCAAGGATAGGTGGTAAGTTGGCAACTGTGTTTTCAAGTCCTCAATGGAGAGCTCAGGGCTTTAGGTATCAGCTTGGATTTTCAGTATTGAAATGCCTTTATAAAGTTACATGAATGGATGAAGTAACCAGGGGGAAAGTATAGCTAGAAAAGGGAAAAGGGTACAAGAATAAGGCCTGAGAAACCCTTAACGTTAAGGGGGTGGCAGAGAAACTAGAACCAACCAAAGAAATAACAAAGTGGTTGTGCGTTAGTGGGCAACGGGGTTTAAGTCTGAAGCTCAAGGAAAGCACTAGGTTCAGATGTGTGAGTCATCGGCATCTAGGATGTCAGTGAAATGATGGGAGATGATGGGAGTGAGAAGAACTGTGAGCCTTGGAACACCAACTTGTTGTTGACGGGGAGGGGGAAGAGGAGAAGGCCTGGAAAAAGATGATAAAGGAGGGCTTCCCTGGTGGCGCAGTGGTTGAGAGTCCGCCTGCCAATTCAGGGGGCGTGGGTTCGTGCCCCGGTCCAGGAAGATCCTGCATGCTGCGGGGCGGCTGGGCCCGTGAGCCATGGCCGCTGAGCCTGCGCGTCTGGAGCCTGTGCTCCGCAACGGGAGAGGCCACAGCAGTGAGAGGCCCGCGTACCGCAAAAAAAAAAGAAAAAAAAGAAGATGATAAAGGATCATCCAGAGAATAGGGACAGAGTAGAGTCTTAGAAGCTGGATCAGTCAGGATACTGCTGGCTACAAGTAATAGAATAGCTGACTAAAATTGACTTAGGTAATAAGAACATTAGTTCTCTCACAAGAGGTCCAGAAGTAGGCAATTCCAGGGTTGGTTCAGTGGCTCAATAAGTCAGGCTTCTCCTTGGCTTTTCCTCATGTTTGCAAGATGGCTGCAGCTGCTTCAACATCAATTTTCTTTTAACCAATAATGTGGCTTTTTCTTTGTGTCCCTTCTTCCCCTTTCTCAGAAAGTAAATCTTTCCTAGAAGCTCTCGCAGGTAGACTCTCCCTCAGATGCCATTACCTAGCCCCAGCTGCAAGGAAGATGGTCACTTGAATAACTAGTATTTCAGTCACCGTAGAAACAGATCTAACTACAGGAAGAAGGCGAGAGAAAGGCTGGCAATCAGGAGGGCGACTAACAGGGCTTTCCTCCAGAGCCAGAATAGGTTCCAGAAGTAGAGAGTGGTAAATATTCCACTAGAGCAGTGTGACTCAGTGCCATGAACACAAATGATTTTACAGTACAGGGTAGAGTGAGTGTTAACTAAAGCAGTAGATTGGGAAAGGAGTAGACACTGAATTACAAGTGAATTGAGGAGTGAATTCAATTATCTTGGATATCCTGGGATAAGAGAATACAATAAATAATGTAAACCAGTGGTTCTCAGCATGGGGAGATTTTTGTCCTCCAGGGAACATTTGGCAAGGTCTGGTGACATTTTTCGTTGTCACAACTGGGGTTGTCAACAACGATCACGACTCGGGGTGGGGAGGTGGGCATCGTAACTCTCACTACTGGCTTCTAGCGTCCTTTACCATCTTTGCAAACTGAAAGGAATGCATCTCTAGTGGGTAGATGCCAGAGACGCTGCTAAACACCCTACAGCTCTGTAATGGACTGAATGTTTGTGTTCCCCAGAAATTCATGTGTTAAAGCCCTAACCCCAAAGGTGACAATATTCTGGTGGCAGGGGGGATGGGGCTTTGGGAAGTTGTTAGTGTTTATGTTATGTTATGTTAAGTTGTTTATGTTTATGTTAAGTTGTTATGTTTATGTTTATTGTTAGAGGTTATGAGGGTGGGGCTCTGGTCTGACGAGATTAGTGCCCTTATAAGAAGAGTCGTCAGAGAGCTTGCTGCCCCTCTCTCCTCACACTCAGAGGAAAGGCCAGGCGAGGGCATGAAGAAGAGGTGGCTGTCTGCATGCCAGGAGCAGAATCCTCACTAGAAACTCAACTGCCAGACTTTGACCTTGGTCTTGCAGCCTCCAGAACTGTGAGAAATAAATTTCTGTCTTTAAACAACCCAGTCCATAGTATTTTGTGATGGCAGCCCAAGAAAATTGAGGTAAACACACAGGATGGCCCCCACGATAAAGAATTATCTGGCCCCAAATGGCAATAGTGCTGAGGTCGACAAACCCTGATGTGAACTATCCTTTTAAGAATTCAGGTCAAATGGGGAAGTGGCATGAAAATGCCGTGGCAAAGAAGAAGGGAGAGACAACGGCATGTTGCCGGGCTGGGGGCGCCAGTGCAGAGGAGAGGCCAGAAATTCTGAAGAGAAGGTTGACCACTGATGCAGAAGGAGCCTGGAGGGCCAGAAGGGAGAGAGGTCAAAAGGGAGAGGAGGGGGGCCTCCTGCAGCCTTAAGACTGAAGAGGAGAAAACAAAAAGGGGTGGAGGCAGGTGTGCTTCCGGGCTTGGGGCTGGCCTAAAGGCTCTTCCTGCTCAGGACCATGATTGCCAGGAGCCACAGGAGGCAAGGAGTGTGGGAGGGGATGACGGGGTGGGGGGTGGGGGAGGGCCCTTCTGGAAGTGTTGCTGAGGGGAATGAAGGGAGGCCAGGCCAGGCGTGGGAAAAGCCTTGTGGAGCAGGGGAGGGCCTGCCTGAGGCCGGGCTCTGTGGTGGCCACAGTCCTCAGCATATGACTCTCCAAGCTGCCAGCACCCAGGGCCAGCCCGGGGAAGGTGCAGTGAGGGACTCACGGGCGGGGCAGAGGCTGAGTGCACAAAATGAAAAGGATCTCGGAAAGGGATGGGAAAATGGTTCCGGGGATCAGCCCTGTGGCCTAGGCCCCAGGCAAGTCATTTAAACTCTCAAGACCTCAGTTTCCTCACCTGTAAAATGGGGTTAATGGTGCCATTTTTCTCTGTTGCTTCATGGGGTGGTTGTGAGGTTCAAGAGAGTTTAGGAGAGAGGCTCTGTCAACTAGGACTCCTTCCCTGAACGCTAGTTATTATCACTAGTCCTTGGTGGAGTGGATGGTGACCAGGACTTTCATGGTCATCTTTGCTAAGTATCTCGTACCTTCCCTCTACTCCTGGGTGTACAGAACTGAGGATTCCTGTCCTGGTGTGACAGATGGACAAACAGAATTATCCCAGCACAGACAGCGAGCCCTCAGACCTTCCCTCTGTCTCTGGTGTCAGGTCATGGCCGCATAAGGAACGCCCCTGCTGCCCCCCACGCCCACCCCCACCCCAGCGCCCAGGCCTCTCTTCATCCCGTGTCTCCGGTGTGTCGTGCACAACCCTTTGATGAGCACTTGGATGGGAGAGGGTATCGTCATTGCCACCTGCTGCATCGTTTAATTAGAGTTTAATGAGAGCCATGGGGAACCACGGAATGGGGAGAGAGAGAAAAGTTAGAACAAAGGGATAGGAAGCGAGAAGCAGCTGGAGACCCAAGATGGCCAAGAGTTGGAAGCAGACAAACATAGGATACAGGGAAGGGCGGGGGTTCCAGGGGCTGCGTCCTCCTGCTTTCGCCGCGTGCGCTCTTGCCCTTTCAGACTGGATGGAGTCCAGGTGACAGGAAGCTGGGGCCAGGCCGGGACAGAGGTGGGAGGAGGGAGGGCTGGGGACAGTCAGAAAGACCCTGGGCGGCAGGACGGCAGGGCTGGGTAGAGGGGTGGGGGGTGGGGTCCCTGGGACACCAGAAATAGGGTCGCCAGATCGGTAACCCATTTCAGACGGAACAGCGGGCTAGTCATCGTCACTGACTTATGTTTTGGCTATAATTTGTGTGATAACAGCAATAACGTCTTCCATTTGCAGAGCACCTACTCAGTGACAGACACACTACCAACAGTAGCTTATTTAACCATTAGCCACGAGGTCGCTGTCAGTATCCCCGAGGACAGATGAGGACACTGGGCCCCCAGAGGCCACGGGACACCCCAGGCCACACAGTAGTACGAGGCATAGCCACTCGGACCCAGCTCGGAGGCTTCGGAGCCCGAGTCCCAGCCACTGCTCCACCACAGATCACGGTGGCGGCAGCGATCTCCGCAGAAAGTCCCAGCACCCCGCTCCTCCCTCCTCGCATGCTGGGATGACTTCTTCCCAGGCCATAGGCCTCACCTAGCCATCCCCGCGGCCACGGCACACGGCCAGTCACTGCCATCACTCCAATTCCTGAGGGGCTTCGCGGACTCGAGCTCAAAGGGACGCATTTCAAGAGCAGGTTCACAGGCCCTGAAACTTAAAAGAGGAAATAAGTTTGAACAGGGGGTTTTCGTGTCTGTCTCTCTACAAGCCATCAACTAACCGCTTCATCCATCCATCCATCCATCATTTATTCGTCAAGAGTCGCTATAGTATAACGGTCAACAGCATGGACTCGGGAGTCCGTTCAGCCATGCCTGGTTGAATCCTCACTCCCCATTCCTGACCTTCATGGACCTCATCTGTCTGTGTGTCAGTTTCTCTACCTGAGAAATGGGAATAGCACCTCCTCGGGTAGAGGCGAGGGTTAGTGGGTTAACTCAGAACAGTGCTTGGCCCTGGTGAATGCTAACCTGGGCCAGGAGATACCAAGTCCAGTGGGACGCAGATCCTGCCCTTGACACGCTCACAGCCCGGGGAGGGCATCAGTGCGGATCTGTCCACCCCACCTGCCGGCCAGCAAAGGGCAGGATAAGGCCAGATGCCCTAGGGCCTCTCCTCAGCCTCTCCAAGGGCCTTTCATCCAGAGGCAGGTCTGCAGCCTTGGGCGGGGGCCCAGAGGGGCAGAAGGCTGCTTTTGAGCTGGGCCCACACCAGGCTTGCCGCTGGAAATTGGCTTCAACCTCCAGGTGTACGGGCCTGTTTGAGGCCGTGCCCCAGTGTGCTCTCTGCTTACTTCCTTCTTCCCTGAGTGCAGACTGGGGAGGGAGGAGAGGCTTTTAGGATGCCAGGGCTGGCTCTAACAAGAGTCCATCTCCCTAGGGCGGCTGGTTGATGAAGAAAGGGTCCCAGTGCTCAGAATGCTGACCCCAGACACCTTACAGCAGAAGGTAGAGCCCAATAAGGGAAGTCACAGCCAAAAGTAGGGCACTGGCCTGGGCTTTGTCACCTGCTAAAGACATCCACTGCCCCCAGTGCTTTGTGATCCGGATCCTGGCGGCTTCTCCAACAAGACGGCAGCCTCTGATCTCTTGCTTTTGCTGGAGCTCAGGCAGAACAAGGCTGGAGTCTCATTTGTCTGTCTGAGATGGAGGCTTTCAGAGCCAGGCAGCTTGGAGAAATGAGGTGACAAAAAAGAAGCCGGCCAGCAATTAGGTAATGCCAGTCTGCCTGCCGGGCAGCCCCGCACGGAGCCTGCCCCCAGAGTCCACCGGGAGCCCAGGCAAGAGCGGACACGTGGATTCCGGGGCTGGAGGCATACAGCCATGCATTAGAAGAATGGCCAGGACGTGTGAAGGCCGGAGGGGCCCTGGGAAGTGGCCAGTGGCCTAGCATCTCTGAGCCCCACCTGTGTAATGGGGTGGAGAATGCTTCTCTCACTGGGAGGCAGGGCCCTAACCTAATCCTCCTGTGATCACAGGTGCCGGGACAGGTGGTCTGTAACTACAGGTTCCTTCCTTCTCTAGTGGGACTTCAGGACAGAGCTTCACGCAGAGGAACCAGAGCTGGGCGAGCAGTCCCTGGGCACGGAGCTTGGTTGTAAGGACGCTCTAGGGCACCCCTGCAGCTGTCCCTGGGTGGGAGCTGAGGCGCTGTGCTCTGAGCCACACAGGGCCCCGTTTGCAGGCTGCCAGGCCCTCCAGAGATGGCAAAGGCTTCTCCCACACAACTGCCTCCTCTTCACCTTGGTCCCCTCTCAGCTTCTCCATCGTGAACAAACAAAACTCTTTGTTTATTCCTTTCTCTGAGTTTTCTCCCAGGCTAGTCCTTCTTTAAAAAAGAATCTTTACCCAAAGCCTCATTCGTCCTTTCTGCAAAATTCACTGCAACACTTCCCCTTTGGGTGAGCCCTGGAAGCCAAACAAGGCCCAGGATCTCTTCTCTAAATATCTGAATCTTTCTCTCTTTAACCAGGTACTTATTTTGGTGTTTGTTTTTTTTAAGTATATGTGGGCCTGCGTTTCTATGTGGGGAGCCGGAAAAGTCCAGAAGTTCTTCGCTCCTGGCTTCACTATTTACTAGCTGTGTGACTGTAGGCAAGTCACTTAACCTATCTGAACCTCAATTCCCTCATCAAATAATAGTTTCTACAAGTGTTTCCCTCACATATTGTCTCATCAGCTCTTCAGAATAGCCTCATAACAAAGGAATTATAAGAAAGTCCTACTTGACAAATGAAGAAACAAAGGCTTTGAGAAGTTAAGTTCCCTTAACTGTGTCTCTGGGACACAAAGCTAGTGACAGAACCTTGACTCTGAACTTCCCATTCTTTCTATGGGATCGGAGAAGATAAGGATCTCTTTCTGGTTTACTTCTCAAAGTTGTCACGGAAGTCAAAGGACACCGTCCATTCGTTCATCTAATAGACATTGGCTGGGTGCCATGGCGTGCCAGCCTTGGTCTCATGGAGTGAAGGGCTCCATAAGCGGTAAGGAGCTGGGCAGATGCCAGCGAGGATGGGGCGCCACCCCCCAGGGGAGCCTGCCGAGCGGTCTCGCAGAGGAGCCCACCCCTAGCGTGGCGCCTGGCACAGGGCTCCCCTTAGCCCTTGACGAACAATTCCCTTCCCTCTCCAGCCCAGGCTGTCTCGCACCTCAGCCTCACAACACCCTGTTTGGGAGGTCCCACGAGCCCCACTTCACAGATGCAGGCAATGTGGATCCCAGGGGTGGTGGAGCTCAGGCCTGGCTGCATGTGGGATCTACAGAAGCCAATGCCCGGGCCGAATCCCAGGCAATGAAATGAGGAACTCAGGGCTGGGGCCCGGGAGTCAGTGTTTTTTCCAAAGCTGTGGAGCCATTCCAAGTGCAGCGAGGAAGAGACCGATGGTCTTGGTGGCTGGGTGCCTGCAGTGGGTGCTGATGGACCGGGAGCTGATTAGTTTCTGTTTATTTACATCTCCTCCAGAGGAAGTGAAACCCAGGTCAGTTCTCCCTCTTAATGGCAGCACTGCCCCGGAGGCCGGAGGGACCTTGGAAATGGGCAGGGAAAGGCTTGGAGAGGCGACGGGAGTTGGAGACTGGCAGGTGCATCTCCATGCTTGGCCTAAGTCCGGGCCTGGAGAATTAAACGAAGGGCAACAGTCTGCTCTGGGCACATGCGGCCTCCCAGCTTGCTGGGTGCAGCTGCTTCCTTCATAGGCTGGGGGCAGTTGTCACCCTCTGTCCTTGGAGGGAGGTTTGAGAAGCAAGGCTGCCAGGAGGCGGCCAGAGCAACAGCTTCCTTGGGTATCCAGGGGCCAGGAGCAGTGTTCCTCTGGGATGGAGGTTGGCTCGGTGCCCGGAGCATGGTAGGCACTCAGTCAGTCCCTGCCTTGAAATGGTATCCTTGGTGCGTTTCTCCCCTTTTCACTGCACCTCGTGCGCCAGCTCTTTGTGCAAGACTTCTCCCCATGTCTGTTAGAGGCATCCTTGCTGCCTCAGGAAGTTCAGGGTTTTTATTTGCGAAGCATCTTAGTGAGCTTGGGCTGCCGTAACAAGCTACCACAGACCACCGTGCAGCTTAAACAACAGGAATCTATTTTCTTGCAGTTCTGCAGGCTTGAAGCTCAAGACCAAGGTGCCAGCAGGGCTGGTGTCTGTTGAGAGTCTTTCCTGGCTTGCAGAGGGTGCTTTCTCACTGTGTCCTCACGTGGCAGAGAGAGAGAGTAAGTAAGCTCTCTGGTCTCTTCTTATAAGGGCGCTAATTCATGACAGGGGGACCTTATAACTTCATCTAAACCTGACTACCTTTCAAAGGCCCCATCTCCATACCATCATGTTGAGGGGACACAGTTCAGTCCATAGCATTCCATCTCTGTCGCCCCCCAGATTCAAGCCCTTCTCACATGGAAAATATATTCATTCCATCCTAAATCCCAACAGTCTTAACTCTAACCAGCATCAGCTCCAAAGTCCAAAGTGTCATCTCAGTATCATCTAAATCAGATATTGGCGAGACCTGAGATACAAGTGATCCTGAGGCAAATTCCTCTCCAGCTGCAAACCTGTGAAACTAGTTTCATGCATCCGGAATACGATGGTGGGACAGGCATAGGATAGGCATTCTCATTCCAAAAGGGAGAAACAGGAAAGAAGGAAGGGGTGATGGGTCCCGAGCAAGTGCAAAACCTAGCAAAGCAAATTCCATTAGATCTTAAGGCTCAAGAGTAATCCCCTTTGGTTCAACGCTCTGCCTTTCCAGACTCCCTGGGACAGTGGTTCTGCCTCTGCAGCTCTGTCAAGTGGAAGTAGGGGTCTTTCTCAAGGCTTTCTGGCCTGTTAAACCCCAGGTGGTGGCCTGATAATCTCCGAATTGCCTTCAAGGTCTTTCTTCCCTTTCCTTGAATAACAGTGTAAGTTTGTAACCAAAAAGCTCTGTGGTCTGGTTTTGTGGAACTCAAGAAGTCTGACCATCTACTCTCCTGTCTCGCTTTCTTGGTCCCCTTTAGTTCAAACCAGCAGCATCTCTGCTAGTATAATCCCATCTCCTGACTCCTCCTGCCACTAAGGATGGAGATGAGGACACCTTGGTACCCAGCCTCCCTGAGCTTCGGTTTCCTCATTTGTAAAGTGGGGATTACACAAACTAACACTTGCAAATCTCTTCTTACGATATCTGACGGTAGTAAGTGTAAAATAAATATTTACAACTACATTTTTCAGATGAAGAAACTGAGGCACAAAGAGGTAAGAACTTGCCCAAGGTCACCGGCCAGTAAGCAGAAAAGCTGAGATTTAAGCCAAGGCCATCTCTCTTCAGAGTTATGAGACCTCACTTCAAACAAATTGTCGAAAATATAATATGCACTCATGTTTTTCATTAGGAGCAGTTAACAGGATAATATGACATTGGCCAAGCAAGGGGACAAATTTGCTCTTAAACCTAATTTCCAGTGAATTTCTTCTCTATCCTCTTTTGATAGACTGGCATCCTTTAAAGTAGAGATTATATAAAAATCCATTCGAGTTGACATTAGTCATAACAGACTCTTCTGGGGGCTCAAGCTCGTTAGTGGTGGATAGGCTTAAGCTACAGTGCATATAACCCAGATCCACATACCATGCTGGAATGGCATTCTGAGAAAATCAGGTAGTGTGGAAATGCCATCTGATGCTGCTTGTTTCAGGATGTACTCAATACCACCAAAGTAGAAAGCCTTTAGAAGCTTCCTACGGATGGCTGCAATTCAAGTTTGCCCTGTGCTCATAAATTAAACACAGGCATGGGGACCTGGTGACCCTGGCTTGGTTCCCGCTTCCTTTTTTTTTTTTGGAAAGGTCATGGAAACTGCTCCATCTCCAGTCGACACTATTGGCTCCCACTTCTGCCAGCTTCTAGTTGTGCCCCCTTGCAAACTCAACTTACGATCATTCAGCAGCGCTCATTTGTGGTTAATACATCTATGTTCAGGGGAACGTCCTCAAAATCAGTGACACCCAAAGGGAGGTCTGCCAAGCATCTGCCGAGAAAACATCAGGGCCCTTGTTAAAATGCAGATACCAGGGCTTTACCCGGTTCTGTTGAATTTCATGCTCTAGGAACAAGGCGAGGGAATGTGCATTTCTGACAAATCCTCCAGGTAACCCCAAGCCCGCCCTCTCAGCCTGGCATACCTCAGGCAGGTGTGGGGACATGGGGCAGCTCTAGAGGAACCTTCCTGGACCATGTCACTGCAAGTCCGTCGCGGAGCTTTGCCTCAAGCCTCAAAATCATGATCCCTTTGGAGGTGGCGTGAGGGTGGCGGACGGACGGTGGTTCCTGCTCAGGGCTGTGCGAGTGCTGGGGTGACCTCAGTTATGGGTTACGAGTAGTGAGCTTTGTAGAACAGAAGCCACCGCTCCCTGGCTTTTGTCACTTTGGCTTCCTCAAGAGACACGCCAGGTTCAGGAAAGGGACGCACTCTTCCGCCTGGGGCCATGTGGCCACGCACCCAGCAGTCGGCCGTGACTCAGCTCCTGCAGCTCGCGCCCAGGCCTGGGGCGGGGCCGGACGATCAACAAAGAAGCGTCCCAACGCACCCTCCCGGGGCCGCCCTCACCTGCCCAGCCGGCCGGCCCCGCCCCTCCCGGAGGCGGCCCTGGGGATGGTTGATGCGGGGCAGACGGGGCCCGGGGCGGAGGTGCGGCTCTAGGGCCGCCCCCGCCCTCTGAGTCACCCCTCCCCGCCCGAGCCGAGCCCGGCGCCTCCCCGCCCCCTCCCTCTGCGCCTGCGCGCTGCGCTAGTTCGCCGGGCGGGGCTCCTGGCGCCGCGGGAACCGAAGACTCACCCGCGCTTCCCTCTCGGCACCCGGACCAACGGGGTTCCTTCCTGAGAACAAGCCTGCTACCCCGCGTCCCTCCGCAGCCGTTGTCTGTCCAACCGCGCGCACCAGCGGGCAGGAAACCCCGACGGTCACTGTCCTGTCACTGGGTCTTCCGCGGCCTCCCTGTTGCTGTTCCCACCCCCCTTGCCATGCCTGGAAAAGCATGGCAAGTCGCTAGTGGCACCGACCCTCCACAGCCGTCAGCTTTCCCCTTTCTCCTGCCAGCGGTTCTCAAAGGTTGCTGCCCACTGAATCACCTGGGGAGCTTTTAAAAAACTGACCAATTAAATCAGAACCACGGTGAAGTAAGTCAGAAAGAGAAAATCAAATATCGTATATTAACGCATGGATGTGGAACCTAGAAAAACGGTACAGATGAACCGGTTTGCGGGGCAGAAATAGAGACACAGATGTAGAGAACAAACGTATGGACACCAAGGGGGGAAAGGGGGGCTGGTGGTGATGAATTGGGAGATTGGGATTGACATATACCCTAATATGTATAAAATGGATAACTAATAAGAACCTGCTGTATAAAAAAAATAAAATTCAAAAAAAAGAAAACGCACACACACAAAATCAGAACCACGGTTGTTGGACTCGGGCATCAGCGTTTTGCTAAGCTCCTCAGGTGATTCCAGGGTTCAGCCTGGGCTGCGAACCACGGACAAGAGGTGGACTTCCCAAAATCTCATAGGCATTGAAATCACCTGGAATCTTGTTAAAATGCAGATCCCCTCTCAGTAGGTCTGGGGAGGGGCCTGAGAGACTGCATTTATAATAAGCTCGCAGGAGATGCTGAGTCCGCTGGTCTGAGGGCCACATCTGGAGCTGCATGACATTAAATGCTCCTCATTCCTTTACCTTTTCTCTTGTGTAGTGACAGAGGAGATATGGGCTTTGGAGCAGACGGACGGGGGTTTGAATCCCACCTCTGCCACTTCCTAGCTTGGTGAAACTGGGCTCTGGTTCTTGTGCGTAAAATGGGGGCTTGATACTTACCTTGCAAGTTTCTGGCGAGGATGACGTGAGATGATGTATGGAAGGCACCTGGCATTCAGTGAGTGTTCAGTGAAGACCAGCTGTATTAGGGTGGCTTAGCTCTCCAGTGGCCCTCATGGCTAATTCAGCCAAGGAATAACAGAAGCGGAGAAGGAGTCTTCCAGGTTCCCTTTTCCCTGCTCTCCTCCCTTCTAGGAGGACTGGGTTGGACGCCAAAACACACCACTGCAGGGGGCAGGGGGCAGAAAGGAAGGGGGTAGGGGCCGGGTTGTGGGAGCTGGAGGGATGCGAGGTGGCAAGGAGGGTCCGCATGAGAGCCTTGAGGAGGGTAGTGGGACCATTCATGCTGGTGGTGGACTCCACCCTTGATCTGGCTCTCCTGAGACTTTGGCCAGAATGTGTCTCATTTGATGGCCCAGTGAAGGGGTTGGAAGTCAGAGCCTCTGCGTTAAAGCTCACTGCCTTGCTTGAGGCCAGTGGTGGGGATGACATGCAGTGAGACTGTGCACGTAGTGAGATATATGAATGCTCCGTTAGGATCTGCCCGAATGCAAGGCACATTTAGGATCTTCTTAATGCCCAAGATTGTAAGACTGCACTTTCTTTTAAGCCATAGGTTCCAATGTTCCTCCAATGGGTAGCTCAGTGGGCAGGATTTTTAAAACAAGCTTTCTTCTATACAGAGCCCATAGGCTCTGATAGCAAGGGACCTGCACCTGAGCCGTGGAGCTCTGGTGCTCGGGCTGCCCCCTCTGGGCTCCTGCAGTCTGCTCTGAACACTGCTGGCCCCGTGTTCCTGCACTGTTGTATAATCATTGTTTTGTGTCCTTCTCCTCCCCTGGACAGTCAGCTTTGTGAAGGCAAGGACTGTGTCCTAGTCTACCTTGAGTTCCTGTCACCCAGCAAAATGCCTGACACCTAACGGGTGCTTACTAGGCACTCACTGTCAACCCAAGAATAACTGAGCGGCAGGTACTCACGTCTTTGTTTCATCTTGGGCCTCAGCTTTTTCATGCGTAAAATGGGGTTCGAGCTAAATTTGATCTCTTAGGCTCCCCCTGGCTCTAACGTTTGAGGAGTTTGCATTGTTCTTCACGGGGTTGTAATCCACTTTATTTTTCCTTCCCAGGTACACATTCCTACACTTGACCTTGATTTTGTGTTTGATCCTTCCTCAGCCCATTTGTATGATGGGCTTTACAAATGCCCTGCTAGTTAAGGCCTGAAATGCCTTTCTTTTCTCACCAGCTTCTTCATGCCTAGGCCATCTATCTGGTTTTTGTTAGAGGCACATTGGGCTGATCATTTTAGGCGAATGGAGCTAGTTTTCTCTTCCATGCTCACCTTGACAGCTTCTGCAACATCCTTGGGCACATCTCTTCTGGGTCCCCGGTGGAGCCAACACCCCCTGTCCTCTTTCCTTTGCCCACGGTTTGCTCTTGGCAGAGAGAATGTGCAGACTGCCCAGACCAAGGGAGGTGCCGTCTCCTCCTCCTAGCGTGTGATGCAGGCACTGGGCCCAACTGGTCACACAGCCTCCCAAAATGTCATCACCCACAGGAATAAATGTGTGACAGCCCCAACTCCTCTAAAATACCTCTCACAGTTACCTGTTAGGGGTTAAAGAGTCCAAATAGAATGTAGTTTCAGGGGGGTAGGGGTGGTCTTTTCCTTTCCAGGAAAGCTGCCACAGTAGGATTTTCTGTAATATTGGCCTAACCCTTGGATATCTGCCACTAACAAGTCACCATGTGTGGTGCTGTCTGTAAAGATGGCCATGCACTGGCTGCCCCTGTTGGAACACGTGCTGCTCCTCTCATCAGAAGGTATGGTCGGGGCTTCCCTGGTGGCGCAGTGGTTGAGAGTCCGCCTGCCGATGCAGGGGACGCGGGTTCGTGCCCCGGTCCGGGAGGATCCCGCGTGCCGTGGAGCGGCTGGGCCTATGGGCCATGGGCGCTGGGCCTGCGCATCTGGAGCCTGTGCTCCGCAGCGGGAGGGGCCGCAGCGGTGAGGGGTCCGCGTACAGCAAAAAAAAAAAAAAAAAAAAAAAAAAAAAGGTATGGTCTGTTCCTCTCTCTCCCCCACTTTTTTTTAAAATTTGTTTAAGTTTTAATTTTGAAATAAATTCAGATGTACAAAAGAGGCAAAAATATTACAAAGAATTTCCATATATCCTTTATCCAGTTTCTTCAAAGTTTATACAACCAATTATCAACACTTGGAAATTAAATTAATACAATACTAATGTCCCCCTCCCCTTGAATCGGGGGCCTTAAGACTGGCTTGGACCAATAGAAGGAGACAGAGGGGGCGCTGTTCCAGTACTGGGCTGAGGTCGTTTGTTTTCTTGCCATCCTGAGCCACAATGTCAAGTCCAGGCTGTCCTGCTGGTCAGAAAGCCAGCTGCCAACCTCGAGGCCCCAGCTGTGTGAGAGAGGCCCTACTCCCACCAGCCTGGCCGACACCACATGGAACAGTCCCGAGACAGCACTGCTGAGCTCTGCCCAGAGTCCTGGCCCACAGAATCAGGAGCAAGAAAATGCTTTTGTGGGTTAAGCCACTACGTTTTAGGCTGGTTTGTTACACAGCAATAGGTAGCTGAAGCACCATACTCTCTGGCTTCTAATTTCTTCATTTGAAAAATGATGGATCTGTCTTCCATCTTTGAAGACAAGCTAATGCTGCCATGACTGGTGTCAGAGCCTCTCACCATAAATAAGCCTTCTGATATCTGGGCCCCATTCAAGGGTTTGAAATCAAGAAAAATACCTTTGAATCCTAGAAACTACCGTACTAATGCAACTGAAATTCATCAAGGAAAACAAAAGAACACACCATCTCAAAGCATTGATTTTGGAGTCCCTGGCTTTGAATTCCAGTTCTGCCGCTTCCTAGCCATCTGATCTTGGACAAATTTCTTTCTCCAAGTCTCAGTCTTCTCATCTGTGAAGTGGGGATAATGATGTTACCCACATATAGGATCATTGTGAGGATTAAATAAAATAATGTCCATACATTGCTTAGCGTGGTACCTGGCTATTGAAAGTATTCAATAAACGTTAGCTGTTCTCTTTATTGGCTCAGATAATATTTTTTGCTTTTACACCTATCTATAGAGGGACTACACGTTAACCAAAACACGATAACCTTGCCCCAGCCTAGAAGAAAATGAATTATACATGAACAGGGGCACTCATGACATTGGTGTATACTAGCTCTGTAGGTTCAGAGAAAACGTGTTAAGATTTCTTCTGTGTAAAGAAATACAGACTGCATGGGAGGGGCAGAGAGAAGATGCTGGGTAGTGATTTGCTTTTGTTTCTAGGAAGATATTGCTCACTGAGTTTATGATTAGAGAGGAAGGTTGGATGGAAAGGATTTAAAAAATTGATTCGTGGCTTTGTCGAAATAAAGCACAAGAAAGCGGTGCGTTGGTTAGCACATTTTTAGAGAAAAAGAACAGTGGAACAAGAGAAATTAAAACCTAACCTTCTACCATCTGCCACAGCTGATTCTGTAGCTCTAACAAGAATCTCATTAGCATCTTCTAAGAGGCTGGTTGTGTCACCAGCACAACAGTGATGGGGAGAGGGACGCCCACACCCACACAGCACACACTCTCACACAACCTGAGCCTGCTCTGGTAGCGAGGTGGCCAGACGGCACTTGGTCCTCTCTCCCAATTCCCTCCTTTGCACACAGGAATTCCATAAGCCTGCGAAAGCTCCGGTTCAGCAAGGAGAGAGTTACCCTTTAAAAAAGATCTGCTCCAGGCAGCAAGCACAGGGAGGAGGAGTGATTGGCCTAGCGAAGACAAGAATAACACCGCACACCCACATTTGCTTCTCGTTCTGGGCCTCCTGGGTCTCCAATCGCCTGGCTACATTTTCAAGTGCTGCATTTTCTGGAGCTGTTTCAACCTGGGCCTGCCAGATTTGAGGTGCCGGGAAAATGTCCTCCCCTCCCCAGCTCCTCAAGCCACCTTCCCATCTCACTTCCCAAAAGAAGGCAAGACAATAGAAGTCTGTTCTTGAAGGGCTTTCACCTACTTAGCTGCTGTGAAAAGAATTTAGAGCTTTGAGATGAAAAATGTCACAGGAGGAAAGGAGGCCAAGTCCAGGAGATGATTCCCAAGGAAGTTTTAAGGAATTTGAGGGGGGCGGGGCTTTTCAGCATCTTTCTAATTCTTTTCTGGAGAAGTGTGTGAGTCTGGAGCCGGGGTGTATATATACGTACATATACATCCCTACACACACACACACACACACACACACACACACACACACACATGAATGAAGCAAATATCACCTAGTGATTTACTCTCTCTATGAAGATTGG